AGAACTATGTAACTCCCTATGTATCATCATCCCAACTTGCACAAGGTGGTATGCCCTGTCTTTTGCACTATGCTAAAAGGGCAAAGGCCGTCACTCTATCAGATAATTATTTGTCTGCCACCTTTAAGACCTGGACTGATATGTTAAAGGGCTAGTTGCCAGTCTGTGGTAGTCTTGGGAGATGGAGGGAAAATGAGGATGAGTGTCTGAGTAGGAGGCAGTTACATCCTTGAAGGCAGATGCTGGGTTCTCAGAAGGTACGTTAGGAACCAGCCCCTGGTGTTCCTAAATACATTAAAATTATAAATATATTAAAAATTAGGAGCTATATACTCTTGAATTGTATATATATTATGTGAACTATATTTCAATAAAATGTAAGAAGTAAAAGATTTAAAAACTATGGGTGCTTGAGGATGACAAGAATAGGAAAGAAGATGACATAATGGCAAACACATTTTTGGAAAATGAGAATCTGGTGGTGGAGAGGTAAATGATGCCGCAAAGCAGATGGAGGAGTTGCAAACCACCACTCCAATAGACCTGCAGGAGACACAGGACAGGGTGACAGCAGCTGAGGCACCAACCACCGACAACAGTATTACATCTTTATGATAGCTGTGTAGGAGGTTCTTTGGGACCTTGCCATTTTCTTTTCTGTATAAAGGAAAAAAGGGGAGGGTGCTTTCCAGTATATAGTAAAACCCTGCTGAAATGTTAGGTGCTTGCACCGTGAAAGAGGATCTCGGACTCTCCTCTGGGGCAGAAGCTGACACCTGTTCAAAGCTGGTGGTGAGCACTCAAGAGAGTCGAGGATGGTCGCAGCAGCTGTGCGAATGAAGCAGAGTGCCTCAAAGGTTAGCGCTCAGCACAGCGCAGTAGTCCATTTATAAATGTATTTGAAAGCAAACTTGTAGTAGAAAAGTTGTGTAAATGGTAAACTAGTATACATGCTTCCAGATTTACCTATTGTTAATATTTTGACATATTTGCAATTTTTTTCTCCCTCTTCCCTCTTGGTGTCTGTCCACACATACACAAAACATGCATTTCTTACCAAATATTTATGTATCCATGTATGTGTCTTAGAAGTACTTTTTTCTTGAATATTTCATTGAATAATAGGAAACTTTTGGTATTATTTTAAATGAAATAACCCAGACTCTATGGGTGAAATGTTGCGTGTTTTCCCTAATATGTGTAGTCATTAAAAAAAGAAAAGATTACAGGGCAATAAAGGGGA